GGAAAATTAATTAATTAATTAATTAAATAAATAATTAATTGGATCTGGATTAGTGCGAGTGTGCAGGTGGGGGAGGACTGTGGTTGCGTGTTTGTAAGTCTACAGCCAGCGCACCTAGCGGAAGTGAACTGAAACGTGCATGTTAACAAAGCCACAAACCAACACTCAAACACACGCCGGTGAAAACATAACCCCCGCCAAGCCCCTGGCGGAGGTAATCAGGAATATACAGCAGTACTATAGTTTAACTGTGGTTGCATTGGTTTCATTTGTAGGAGTTCACATACAACAATGTTGACTATGTGAAGATATTCTGCGAAGGCCATGTGGTGCCAAGCAGCAACGTTGTACGCCAGTTCTATGAGGCAATAGACAACTTCCAGAGGAAATCCCACAGTAAAGGTTTGTTTCACATATCCTTGTATCTAGATGATCAGCCTACTGTTATTACAGGTATCCCCATTGTCAATCACACTCGTACACAAACACACACAGGCAGACGCGTGCGCGCGTACCCAAACCCATGCAATACGCACCACACACACTACAAACACACACAAATGTACTAACTACGAGCACAGCCAGACCCAGCTACAAAATCATGTGTAATGCCACATACTGACACACACAAGTACGCACGCACGCACGCACGTACGCACGCACACACACACACACACACGCACGCACACACACACGCACGCACGCACACACACACACACACACACACACATAAATCTCAGGTACAAGTGCCTGGAAAGTGCCAAATACGAGCACGTACAAGTAAGCGTTCTCTGTGAACACGCATTCGCTCACGGTCCAACCTACAGCTGCAGCAGTACGGAAGTAGGCGGCGAAAACTGTTGCGTAAGGCAATCGAAGAAGTCGAAGAAGAAGAAGTCGAAGAAGAAGAAGACGAAGAAAAACTAGAAGAGGAGGAGGATAATGTTGTGTAGTTGGCGTATAAGAGATGTGCGACTGCTCGCGGTGGTAAGGGTGTGCTAGTTTTTCTACGTTGAGAGATCTCTTTGTGGGCGGCAGCACACATGCCGTATCGCCTCGCCGCGGGATCAGACCTGCCTCGCCATGCATTCTTCAGATTAACCCCCCACTCCCTTTTGACTTGTGTAATCTGCGAATAGAACCATTTTCGTCTGGCTGTTTATCTTACTTACACTGAAATTTGGTTTTATATTCATTGCTGCAGTGGTAATCCAGCCCCGCTGTCTTTCTTGTCTGTCCATCCAGGCCTCTCAGAAAGTGCATTCATATCTCACCCGTGCGTTCTTTAACTCCGTGCGTGTCTTTGTGCGCGAAGAATGCCTGAGCGATTTCTGGTTAAACTATTCACAATATGTCATTTTAGATAATCTCTTAAGGAGCCAGAGTTCTTTATGTGTGTCCCTAGAAGATATAGAGACGGCGGAGTGGGTTTAGAAAAATGATACTTATTTCCCGGTTAAATTCAGCAGCCACTCACGTCGACTTAGCCGATAATAATTGCCTAGCTGAATTAACCATCCGGTTTTCAGTAATCTATCTCTTTCGTATATCTATCAGTGTTCGAATGCATTACACCCCGACATTTTCCACGGATTTGTAGCTATGATTGGATATTTTTGCGTGAATTATTGTCTTAGAATAGGCAATTGACAATGAATAGATGTTTCGAAATTGTAGCGACCACAATTTCTGATTTCAGATTCCGTCATTGCTGTGCATTGCACTCATGGAGTCAACAGGACTGGTTACTTGGTTTGCAGGTGGGTTCCTCTCTGCCAGCCACTCCCTTATGTGGTATTTCCATTCACCTGTTATTACTCCCTCTGATCTGCCATCTATTTGAATTATCCCATCCACCTAGTTTCAGCTATTTCTCTCCAACTTTCCCCTCTCTTTCTTTTCATCACCGCCCTTCTCAACTCTCGTCCTTCTCATCCTCGAGTCTCCCTTCCCTCATTAGACACTTCCTTTTTCTCTCAAGACAGTTTCACTTCTCATTCATTACCTTCCTTCTCTGTCCACGTCTTGACAATTCGACAATAACTTACAATAACAGTACAACTTCTATAAGCGCACCACAACATCTGGTCCCTTGAAGGCATAACAAAGTCGTGTCAGCGGTGTCGAACTAAACATACTTTTAAATGCGTAGCATGAATAAACTCAATAGCTGCAGGTATGTGTGACGTTCACACCATTCGATGAAAAGTTTTACCCGAATTTGTGTCGATGAGGAATAGTGAGGAGCACGTGTTGGTAACAATAAACTTCCCGCGCATGCTCTCTCTCTCTCTCTCTCTCTCTCTCTCTCTCTCTCTCTCTCTCTCTCTCTCTCTCTCTCTCTCTCTC